GCATACTCTGCAAAAAAACTCAACATGCAAAGCCTTGAACACTCTGTTCTTCCTAACTTTTTCTATATTATACTCCCTGACCTACAAGATTAAGGTTTGGGTTCTGTGAGTAAACCTACAAATCATTCCCTGCAAAAATTCCCAGTTCTTCAAGACAGCACAGAAGCACCTCAGCTCTGCTTAGGAAGAAGCACTAGCACTCTGCTAGTGCTCCCAAAACCTAACACAGGGGTAAGTGACCTGTTTATTCCCACTGGCATATATGTGTCTCTACAGGGCTCTCTGTTGCTCCAACGAGAGGGACTCAACTCCAAAAGGAAGGGAAGAAAATAAACAAAAAACCAAATCACCCAGGATTTAAAACATGTAAAACGTTATCCTGACTCAGAGTAACTATAAGTTCTCCAGCTGCTGCTCAGAAAAAGCACAAAATGGAAGTCAATTACCACAAAGCATGCTCCAAGCATCCAGACATCCACTTCTGCTTCAGAAAGAGCCACCACCCCAACCAACAGAGCAGAGCAGAGCAGAAGAGCACAGAGATGAACTCCTGACAGGAGCTAAAGTATAAACTGGGGTGAAGAGTTGTAAAGGCAGGATGGGCACTGGTGCTTTCCCTTTCAATAGAGCAATTTAACAAAAGAAAGGACAGTTATAGCCCCAGAGATTCACAAGAAATTATGAAGCCACTCAGAACCCACAGGTGCCTAAGAGAGGCACGGCTTCATACCATTCAGATCCTGCAGAATCATAGTATCCTCTTCTTTAGCTGAAGTTATCCAAGAGGTCACTTCATCAATAGCTTTCTTCAGGACATCCCTGTCTGCATTACTAGTGCTGGATGAGGGGAAAGAGGCAGTGTGAGATATGTTCGTTACAGGCGAAGCCTTGTGCCTTGCTGTAGGAATGCAAAAGCTTCATTTCCCAACATGCACCCAATTCTCCACACAATATCCTGTGATCTCCATCTTCCTTCAGACACCACGGCATGCTGGAACAGCTGGCAGCAAGGTGTTCAGTCCAACAGGTTTCAGTACTTCTACCAAACGTGATCTGAGTGAAGCTGAGCCATGAGCACAAGTACTGAGCAGATACCTCTTTGAGAAGTGCTCACCTGCAGATCTTCCAGGTACCTGCTGAAAGCTGCTGCCTAAGGATCGTCTCCTGTACCTCATTCATGTATGGGATTCCATCCTTGAAGAACTGAGGGGAGGGAAAATGCCAGGTTGGTTACACTCCCCTGGATTTTCTCACAGCACATTAGAGAATCAGCAGATTAGTCAGGACAAACAAACTGTAGGCAATCCAACAAGTATGGAGGAAAGAAAAGGATATTTGTCAACGGTAATCAATTTTTTTGCTCTTCTTTTACTTTTCCTTTAATAAGATGCTTCCAAGAGTCAAGAAGTGAGATGCTTCCTGCCCAGAACTAAAAAACAGTACTCTTATGGGATGCCAGAGTCTGTATTTTATGGGAAATGTGACAATACATAAGATGCTGGTAAAGTGATACTTCTGAACCTTCATGGATAGTAAAGACACCCACCAGGGTTTGTTTAGCAAATCCTTAGCTCACCAAAGATAAGGTTTTGGGGTTTTTTTGAGGCAGGAGAATCTGAGGCTGCCAAGGATGTGGTTATTGCCTTTACATTAGTTCAGAAAAAAGAGCATTCACTACCCCTGTTGATAACAAACTGCATGATGCCTTCATACTTTAGGAAGATGCTATTTACCACATAAATCTAACATTTAGGGATACCAATCTGATTTCTTCTGCAGTTGCACAGATTTCCTCTGTTCTGCATTTCTGGCAGAGATTACATACCTTGTTGTAGTCAAAGCCATAATGAGACAGGAACTGAATACTAGATGCAGAAAGGGTGAATTCAACATCCCTTATTCCCAGAGTTGAGGGAAAGAGAAAAAAGTTGTATGAATGCACCACATACCTAAAATGAAAAGAAAAATATCTCTAGAAGATAATTACAAGAAATAACTCTGCCCAAAGGAAATTATGAATAAAATCTCTACTGCACTATCCTCATTGCAACAGAAAACTGCTTTTTTACTTACTTGTTTGAATTTTCTTTTGAGAATATTGCCAGCCCTGCAAGAAAGAAACCTCTGTTGAGATGGCAGCATTTAGCTGGCTATCTACTGATAGCATGCAAATTAGATGAGAGATGTGGGGAACCCCTCAAGAAATACATGCTTTCCATTCAGGAATGTCACTGTGCCAATCCTAGCAGCAACTGCCAGGCCACTCCCTGGATTCCTGATTCCTGAGAGCGGCACAGGACAGCTTTCACTGCTGTGTGGGAAAATGAGTAAAATCTGAATTAAACAACAAATAGACTGAGCAATAGGCAAGAGGTGAGATGGTGATGAGCCTCTGACTGTGCATACACAGATGAGTCTGTGGGTCCAACTACACTACATTAGTGTTTGGAACAAGCTGGGCACCACAGAGGACTGAAACACGGGTTTTACTTCTCAGTTTGTTTTTTTTTTTATTCTGTTAATCCCTAAAAGGCACATGATGATCTTACATACCCCAAGACTTTGAACAAGATTTCAAACTGTTTTCAAGCTGTCTTCTTGACTCATTACTGGTTCTTAACTGTCAATATCTCTCCTTCACAGACCCCTTCTCATGCTGGTTTGTTATTTTAGGAATAACAGAAATAGCAGCCTTCATTTTCCTCACAGTCCCCTTACTCATAATGCCCTATATCAAATGACACAGCTTTGAACAGGAGCTGGCGTCATACGCCTCTTGCTTGCATCCTCTGATTTAAAAGCCTTGTATTTTTAACTGTGACCTTTAAATATGGTCAACTTTAGACCCATAAAAACGATATAGCCCACCTGACTTTATTTATTAAAAAGCTGACAGTGTTAAACATCAAAGGGAGGGAAAAACCCAACAAGCAAATGTCTTTGGAATGATTGAATTAAGGCTGAGCCACCTGCAGGACGCACCTGTTAGCAAAAGGCCAGTTACCTGTACGACCTCGGGAGATCGCTTTCCGTGCCACAGCCGCACTTACCGAGCTGAACAAGAGTGAAGCGCTGAACACTCTGCCTGGCCTTCGCGTACCGCTCCGCAGGGGAGTCAAACAGGCTAGGAGCAAAACCAGAATTGGGGAGAGTGGACACAAGAAGGGTTACTATGCACAGGTTGTTCTCACATGGCTAGAGCAACAAGTCTCCCTCGCATTTCAATTCACAAAACCAGAATTGGGGAGAGCGGACACAAGAAGGGTTGCTATGCACAAGTTATCACACGGCTAGAGCAACAAGTCTCCCTCGCATTTCAATTCCAACAGCTTTACCTGGGCTCGTTGTTTTGTAGGGAAGTTGAATGCAAACCAGTAAACTCCATATCAAGGGCTGTTGAAGTGGAAAGAACACAAGAGAATCTGAATTTGAGGCATGCGCTTCACAACCACCAGGATGGAGATCTCTCACGCTTTTCTCTTCACCGTAAGCTTTGTCAAACTACAGGAAGCAGGCTCAAGAGGAAAAGCTGCGGGCTCACACCTGCAGCTGCCTCATTCCTGGGGCAGGATGAGGCAGGGACACGTCTCCCAGCCCCTCAGGAGGGGCCTGCCTCACCCTGTGCTGTGTTGGTGCCCCCACCCCGAACCCCTAACACCCCTGGTCCCCAGCCGGCCGGGCCGAGGCCAGCACCGCAGCCGGGGTTCCCTTTCCCCGTTTGAATCCCGCGCCCCAGTGCTCGCTGTTCTGGGCGCAGCAGCGCCATTTCGGCTGCAATTCCCTCGGTGTCCGGGTCCCCACGTCGGGCAGGGCCCGGCCGCCCCCTGCGCGGCCGGGCGGGGGCCGAGGGCAGCACTGGGGGCCAGACGAGACGGCCCCGACGCTCACCCACGAACGCGGCGCCGAGGATGCGGCGCCTGAGGCGCGGCAGGTGCTGGGCAAAGCTCTCGGCGCCCACCTCCATCGCCGCCCGCCCGGCCCGGCCCGGCCCGGAGCGCCTGCGTGCCCGGCGCTGCCCCGCGGGGCGCTCCGCACCAAGGGATGGGGAGGGCAGCACCTCGGGAGCTTCCAGCGTGACCCGAGCGGTGGGAACGAAGGACTGGGAGGTTTAGGCTGGGAATTGGAGAGGCTGCGAAGGCGGCCGGCACAGCCCCCGCTCAAAGGGAGCGCAGGGGCAGCTCCCACTGCGCGTCTGCTGGAAATACAGATCGCACAGAGGCCGTCACTATCTGAGAGTTGTTATTATTAAGAACCAACGACTAGTTAAAAATCCAGTGGTTTTTTTTCATTCTGTCTGAGGATTTAATAAAGATGCCAGAACCGGGCCAGGCTCTCCCCGCACGCTGCTGAAGCCCAGCACTGACCCTTGGCATTCCCTTCTGCCCCAGAGCACGCACACACGAGGCAGCAGGCACAGCACCCGGACACAGGCACAGGAGATGCACTGACCAGGCTGCCCTCCCTGAACTTGCCTGTCAGAAGGCTCCAACACACTGTCTGTGGGGATTTCACAGCCTGGCTGTAGCTGGGAGCTGTGCTGAGCCAGCAGCCAGAGACGCTGACAGCACCAGCCTGTGCCAAGCAGCAGACACACAAGGGGAGAGAGAATGGGGCTTCTTATTCCCTACAGCACAAGTTTCTGCAGCTTCCCTTCTAAACCTATCCATATGGTTAAGCAGTTAGAATCTCAGGATTGCAAGAGAGGTGCAAAAATGTGTTAGGAGTTTAATGTTTTCACTAAGACTTTGTGCATCTTTATCACAGTTCTAAACATTAATGTAATGCCTACACTTTGCTAGGTTAGACTGGCAGTGTACAGAGATCAAATATCAAAGCATTTCCAGAGTTCAGGCTGGAACAAACAAAATCAAATATTAAAAATAAAAAAAATATTTTTAATGTTGAATTATTAATAAATTCTGTCAAGCTGAACTATGGTAAGTTTATTCTAGCATTAAAGGTATTGATCATTTTAGAATAAAGAATATGACACACTCCTATCCATGTGAAAATATTTTATTATAAGATGACACATTCCAACTTTTTCCAGATCTGGACCTTCCCTTTGCCAGTACACAAACCTAAAGAAGCAATCCTTGCTCCTTGGAAAGTCTTCCCAACGATCTCCATTTTATCGGTAGATTCTCCGTGGCTCATGCAGAACAACACCACCTTCCTTCATAGCTTTCTCAAATTCCTGAATCTTGTTTAAAAGATAGACACAAATAAATACAAAAGAAAACCGGCAGGACTTAAATGTCAGTGGGAACATGTTATATGGAGGGGCAGAGGTTAACAGCCTCATAGAAGCATAGTATCAGGAACTGCAGCTTGTCAAAGCCCTTCTGAGTGTTCCAAGGAGGGACTGCCAAGCCACATAAGAAAATTAAAGGTGAAGAGAAGTAAAATTAAAGCCTAAAAAGGAAAGAAGGGCCAACGGAATAAGTAAGTGAGTACTTGCCGAGTCACAACGGTGTTCCCAGGGGATAATGGCTTTAAAGTTCACAAAGTTGATTCCAGCTTCCAAACAGCGCTGTGCCATTACACGGCCAAGGTTTCTGCATGCAGCTACTCCCTTGGGACTGTACAAGTGTCTCTTTATGGCCCACTCTCGGGTAGAGGCAGACAGCACAACATCCCCATTGGAGCGCTCGACAAAGGCTTCTACGTAATGCTGTGTCCGCTCAAGCCGTAATCTGAGTGCAGGAAAGAAGTAACAGAGGATTATAGTGTCTTTTCCAGAGGACAGAGTTAAATTATTAAATTACTCCCTGTAGGAAATAAAATTGAGTGTATTAATACATTACATTACATTACGAGTTTTGCTTAGTAAGACACAAAACAGGACTCATGTTGGGAGGAAAGGGTTAAAAGTGGAAGAATATCAAGGAAGATTCTCTCAAGTGACCTTGCAGCTGGGAATACCAAGTCCTGGAGAAGAACATTGTGGGAAACCCCACAGATTATGCCTACTGCTGTTTATCCTCTGACTGTTTTGAGAAGCAGAATCTCTGTGTAGAGATAAAACAGGTGTTCAAAGAGCCTTGGAGGCTTTCTCATGGACATGCCTGAGCTCCCTGTTTTGACAGACAGACCATCAAAGCTCAGAGATCATAAAAAACACAGGGGAGACCATAGCATGATGGTAAACCTAAATGCCCCTAATAAATGGGTGCCAACTGCAGGCTCACCAGCTGCACAGACTGGCCTAACAGTGCCTACATTCCTGCCTGGGTGTTGCTTTGGGATCCTTCAGATAGCAAGGCAAGGAACTAAGTGTACTCTTTGTATTTCAGCCATAGTTCTGTGGTCCTTCCAGCAGCCTGCCTGTGTTGACTCACACAACTCCTACTGCTAGCTCAGAAGAGTGAAATTCCAAGAGCAACTTCTCATCAGTTACTCAGGGCCACAGTCCTGTGTTGCCTCAGAGCAGCACCCACTCCCAACCAAGCACTGTGCACCTGCACAGCGTGGAACAGGTATACATGAGGGGAACTGCTTCAACAGAAATGGAACTTTGGGGTCACTATGCCGTCCCTTAAAAGCTTGAGCTGCACAGCAGGTGTTGAGATCTGACACAGCAACTTGTTGAGATCTGCAAGTGGTCAGAAAGTACCTCATCAGTCTCCACACATAACAGTAGAATATTTATTAGGAGCAACTATTTCTTATTGCACTGAGAGAGTATCAGCTTTCCTGGATGGGGTTCTCCCCACAAAAGCAAAATAAACACTTTGAAATGCCAGCTTAAAATGAACTTAATTTCCAGAGAACAAGTAAATTAAAACAAAACCCACAAACATAAAACAACCCCAAGCAGACTATTATGGTGCCTCAAATAAAACCATGAAGCATTATAAGCACAGGAATGAGAGAATCCCTTAGAGTAAAAAAGAGTAAAAAAGAGCAAAAAAAGAGTTAAGAAGAGTTAAAAAGAGTTAAAAAGCTGTTGCTTAAGCAACATTACTGTTGCCTTAACAGTAGATGGAAAAATCTTGACCGCACATGCTTTCATATGCTACTAGTCCGTAAGCACAGGAGTGAGAGAATCCCTTAGAGTTAAAAAGAGCAAAAAAGAGTAAAAAATAGTTAAAAAGAGTTAAGAAGAGTTAAAAAGAGTTAAAAAGCTGTTGCTTAAGCAACATTACTGCTGCCTTAACAGTAGATGGAAAAATCTTGACCGCACATGCTTTCATATGCTACTAGTCCACTCTTCCATGAACACAGAGGATGCCTGCTGATTAAGAAATACTAATGTCCTAACTGATTCAGCAACCCAAAATGCACATGTAGGTTTCTGGTGTTTGTTTTGTTGGTTTTGTTTTGTTTTTTCTTTTAGAGTCTTCATTTTTGGCAGTAACTTCCTGACTCACCTGTGCCAGAACTCACGCTTCGGCCACGTTGTCTTCCAGCCACGCTCCTTCCTAGCCAGGGCCATCTGCTCCAAGTTCCGAGGATTTCTATTAGTGAAGTTTGGGGCAACAACCTCATTTTCACTTGTATCCACTTCAGTCTCAGTTTTGACACTGGCTGTAGTTGATGCAAAACGAACACCTTGGGAGAGCAGATAAAAAGCCATGAAAGATTAAAAAAACAGTAGTGCAGACAGTAGAACGGATACAGCACAGAATGATACTTCTGTAAGAAGTCAGCAGGGCAAAATCACCTTGCTTTTATTTTTTAAGCACTTAACAGATGAATGACAAGACCTCAACCTGTTTCCCCAATCTATGAGGCAAACTGCAAGTATACTAACGCCGTTTCTAAACTCTTATATAAAAATATAAACTCACGCGTGACTAGGAGATCCCTAGGTCCAAAGCTTTACAAAACACTGAAGTACACAAGAAACCAGAGACAGCGCTACCAAACAACAAGGTATAACCCTTCATCCTTGGCACGGCAGAACCGCAGGAAAGCGGAGCGCGGGGCCGCCGCCCGGGCAGGGCGGCAGGGCGAGCCCTGGGCTTACCCGCTGCACGGAGCCCGCCGGCCGCCAGCAGCAGGCGGCTGCTCAGCGCCATGGGGAGCCGGACCTGCCGCAGCCCCGGGCGGCCCCGCTCAGGGACAGCCGGGCGCCGCCATGCGCGAGGGGCGGCGCTTCCCGCGGAAGCGGCCGCGGGAATTCCGCCCGCCGCCCGCGGGGTCAGGCGGAAGCGCCGGGCGCGGGGCCGCCCCAGCCAGCCGGGAAAGGGCCCCTGCCTGGTACTCGCGTCTCACAAAACAGAGCAAAAAACACTGCCCGACTCGGGGGGTCATCTTTTAACTCCTGCCCGTGGAAAAAGGGCTTTGGGGAATGCCGGCCTCCAGAGAGTGGGTCGGCTTTTCCTGGAACGGGTGTAAGGAAGAGGGACCAAGACGTGGAAAGGAAAGGGAGCAACAATAGGTGTTTCGGGAACTACCATCATCCTGTTTTAGGCTTCTTTCCTTGTGCTCCTGCGGCACACAGGTACAGCAGAGCTGCTCTGCCTCCTCAAAGCATCCTCCTGCAAGCATGACCGCGGGAGCCTTACTTTGGAGCTGTATTTAACTGCTGTAGTTCTGAAAATGCTTTTAATGACCCATCTAAGAGCACATTGTATTGAAAGGGGGGTGAAGGCGTGGTGAGACGCTGGCACCACCTGGCAGGGGAACTCTGGGCACTGCCACAGCAGCCAGGTACAGCTCTGGCGGGAGGCCGCTCCTGCCCACACGAGGTACCTGCTTGTCGAAATACAAGAAGCCTGCTCACACCATGCCCTGCAAATCATTACATGCTCATCCTGAGCCTTGCAGGTTTCCCATCTTCCCACCACTCCCTGAGGTTTTCCCTCGGACTGTAGCAAGTTTTTCCCCTGTACTACAAGCACCGCCACTTAACCTGGCCATGGAAAAGTGGCAGGAGAATGAGAATAGTTACAGCTCAGAGACCTTCAAACCATACAATGGTGCCATTACCAAGTGTAATCACAGTTATAACTTAGGGTAATTCTCATTAAAAGTGTTTTGCCTAAATTATCAGCTTGAATCTCAGTTTCTCCAGGAAGCAGGTTTTCAGCTGCTTCATCTTTTGCCATCTCAGCATCCTGTCATTTCTGACCAATCCTAGATTGGTCTAGGGTCTCCTTACAGCTTTACCCCAGCACTCGGGGTATAATCCCAGGCAACAGGCAATGTGTTTCATAAGCGCAGTTGCGGCCGGGCATGCCGTGGTCCCCACTTTGGGAAGCGGGGTGTTTCCCAGGGCAGGGCAGGGGCCGCCATTCCCCCACCACCGGCGGGACTCCACGCGCCTGCGCGCCCAGGCCCGCGACACTTTCTAGAAGCTCGTGGAAGCGCCCCGGGCCCCGCCCCTTCTCGCAGCGTCTTTGTTCAGCGGCGTCCGCCAATCGCGGCTCGAGGCTGGGCGGTGCCGCGCCCCAGGATTGGACAGGCCCGTGATGGGGCCCCGCCCCCCGCGGGGCGTGCCCCGCCCCCCGCCCCCGCGCGCAGCGGGGCGCGTTCCCAGCGTGCCTCGCGCCGCCCGGCCCTCCCGCCTCTCCGCGCCCTGCGTCCCTTCCCTGTGCGAGTGGCGCCGCGCCCGGGCGGCACGATGTCGGCGATGGAGGGGCCCCTGGCCGTGTTCGGCGAGCGGACCAGCGGTGACACGGTCCGCACGCAAAACGGTAACGGCGGCGCGCCCCGGCGAGGGCCGGGGGAGCGGGGGGGAAGGGAGGGGCGGCGGGGAGCGAACATGGCGCGGCCATGGCCACCTCGGCCATGTGCTCGCCCGCCCCGCTCTGCCCGGGAGCTGCCGCTCCTCCCCATGGATTGCTGCCGTCCCGGGCCGCTGCTGCTGCAGGCGGGGAGTAGAGGCAGGAGGGAGGGAGGGGGCAGGCGGAGGAGGAGCGCACGCCGTCCCGCGGCGCTTGCAGCAGCCTGAGGGGCGGCGCGGCCCCCGCTCCCCTCCCGCCGTGCCGTGGTAGCGGCACACACCGGGCGCGGCTGCGGCTGCTGCTGCTGCTCTGGGATCGCTCTGCCCCGTCCCCACCGCCTGGGCCTGAGCGAGGCTTGCAGGGAATTCTGCTGGGGAAGCTCCCCGCCCCCAGCACAGGGAATGAGCTGCTTCGGAAAATGGGGACCAGCCCCGAAATGCGTGTCTGTAACTGCTTCTCAAACACGTTCCCATTGCTCGGGATTGACCCCCAGGTCCTGGGGGAAGGCTGCAAATTTCGTGATCGAGCTCAGATTCTCAGTACACAAAAGACAAATGAAGAAGCCAAAACTTGCTGCCCGATCAAAGTGAGATTTTTTCGTGTGGCTCTGATGGTACTTTAGGCAGCTACTTAAAACTTAGGAGCCTTGTTTTAATTCATGAGTGAGATTCCACGTGATAATGGCACCTTTGGTACAGCGTTATTTCTTCCAGAAAGCTGACGTTAATCCGCCTGAGCAAAAGAAATTGTTGTGTTGTTTGAAGGTCTCAGAGTTATAACTGTTCCCATTTAACTACCACTTTTTCAATTTCTAGATTAAGTGGCTATGCTTGTGGGATAGAGAAAAACTTGCCATGGTCTGAAGGAAAAGGTTGATTGTATCTTTTTCCTATATGAAAATGGCAGAACAACCTTTAAATGAACCAGTGTTTTTGAGGCTTTGTGTTGTTTTTAGTAGTGACTCACAGGTCACTTTTCGGTGATTTAGTTGCAGAAGTAAATGTTTTGTGTCAGTCACAGGCCTGATGAGGACCAGAAGATGTTTTGCTAATTGATGTGTGGTGATGCCGTTGTTGTCTGTCTGCCCAGAACTGAGGACTAAATGCGAGGGAAGTCTTGTGGCACAGCTTGCTGCAGTCAGAAGCAGCAGTGCTACCAGCCCCTCCTGATCTAACACCAGTGCTCCTCTGACCTCAGTCCTGCCCTCCATCTTACCGAGACAGCAGAGAAAGCATTCTTTTTTGGGTCAGTCAGTTTTGCCAGATTAGCTAGCTGAACCATCTAGGAGGGAAGAGTGAGGTTTGGCGTTGTATTTTTTTAGTAGCAGCAACCCTAACAAAGTAAGGTAAAGCTTCACGTTAGATAGGCTGAAACGTAACACGAGATGAGATCACTTCTTGTCACTTGCCTGATCTGTTGGTTCTTGGCACTGTTCCTTACAAACCTGAGAATCATCCTAAAGCTGGGAAGATAAAACTTGTTTTTTCTTACTCTTTCCTGTATTCAGTTACTGCTGCATCTGCTATTGCCAATATTGTGAAGAGTTCTCTTGGGCCAGTTGGTCTGGATAAGATGTTGGTGGATGATATTGGGGTAAGTAATGTTACTTTAACAAGTGTCAGGAGGACTTGTATTCCTGTGTGACAGTGCTTCCACTTAGTGTGCTTCATAGCCTAATGTGCATGTGCCTGTTTTATCATGAGAGGGGTAGGGGAACTGTGGTAAAATTGAGTATTGTGTAATGCGTATTACATTGTTTTAGTTTAATGTGGTGGTAATGTATGTGTTACAGTTATTTAATTTCTGTAGGTAAGTCCTTGTAACCATTTAAAATACAGGTCAGATGGCAAGAAGTGAGTTTCACCACTTAAATCAGGTTTAACAGGTGCTGACTTGTATATCCTAGTCTCCACAGAAGGAGAAAAATAACAAAAGAATTTCAAGTAATTAATAACAAATTTTTAAGCAATATTTTGTATTTTAAAATATTGCAAGTAATTGAAGAAAGTTTGCATTTTCTAGGCTGATGTAATAAAATACTGTTTTGGAGGGAGGTCATTGCATGACTGCTTATCCAGTACTTGCAAAATGTTTGATGAGTTTCTGTACCATAAAGGGTTTTCTGATCAAAAAGAAAGTACAGGTTCTGCACTGGTAACATTTCTGTTGGTAGATTGGGACTCCACATTAAAAAGAAGAAGGAAGGTTTTGTTATAAATAGTTATTTTATGGGCAGTCACAAAGAATAATTAATTTCTTTCTGTATGAACATTATGAAATGCAACAGTGGAAGTGTAATAGATACCTTATATGCACATTTGATTTGTAAAAATTAGGACGTGACCATTACTAATGATGGTGCAACCATTCTGAAACTGCTGGAAGTGGAACATCCTGCTGCAAAAGTCCTTTGTGAGCTGGCAGACCTGCAGGACAAAGAAGTTGGTGATGGGACCACCTCAGTGGTATGTAGCAAGTTTTACAGGCAGATATATCAAAAGTCAGTGTTTAGATTTGCTGTTTTCCATAGATGCTGGTTTCCATATGCAAAGTGGTGCTCCAGAAGGGAATTTGCTCACTTCTGTTTCATTACTGATTTTTCCTGTCTTGAAGGTTGGTCATAGAGGCTGAATTTAGATTTTTAGTTTTTAACTGAAAAGAACTGAAGTACGAACAAGGATACTGAGTGTTGAAAACTTAACTGAGACTTTAGATACATTGGTGGGGGTTGGAATTAGGTAGCTCTCACCTCACATCAGAAATTGGTCTTGGTTCTGTGTTACACAAGGTAGTTACTTTGCTTATGTGGAATGCACATATTTAGTGTTTGTATTTCAAACAGGTAATTATTGCTGCAGAACTTCTCAAAAATGCAGATGAGCTGGTGAAACAGAAAATTCATCCTACCTCCATTATCGGTGGATATCGACTTGCCTGCAAGTAAGAAACTGATGCAGTTGAATTTCAGCATTTTGTGACTGCATTGATACAGGCTTTTTGGCTCCAAGTGGAATATGGTGGTTTGTTGCAGGGGTGCTGGGGTTTTGCTTGGTTTGGGTTGGATTTTCTTACGAGTTTTCTTTTTTTTATTTTTTAATTGTGTTTCTGTAATCATGTAAAGAAATTACAGTCACGTTACTGTCCTTGAAAACATGTAAGCTTTTGTCTTTTTGTGGGGGTGGTTCTTTACTAATATATTTGTCTTTATTTTACAGGGAAGCTGTTCGCTACATCAATGAAAATCTTGTCATTAACACAGATGAGTTGGGCAGGGAGTGCCTAATTAATGCTGCTAAAACATCAATGTCCTCGAAAATTATAGGAGTGTATCCTTTAAATTGATCAAGTGAGTGAGGTGGGAGTGGTTGATTAGAGAGTTTTGGTAGCTAGGCTAGAGTATCCTTGGCAGCAGTTTTTATGAACATGACACAATACTG